AAATTTACTCACCCTCTTGCCACTCAAAATCCTTACCGTTAGTTCGGATTCTCCGACTGGATTGGCTGAGTGGTGTTTCGGAGTGACAAGACAGGATGGCACCTTTTCCTGTTCCCTGTATCACTCTGCTTGTATGGGTTTTCTTTTCGCTGATCCTTTCTAGTTCATTTTTCCATGAAAAAAATAAGTGGCTGGTTTTATGAATGAGTCATTGAATTATTCACTGAACCAAACCGCAAAAAAACATTAATTCACTGAAGAACAACTATTGTGGTCAAAGTTCATATTCTGCTGCATCATTGTGTAGCATCCAGTCAAGTAAAACAAATAGAAATGACAGATATGCTGTACAATCAGCTCGCAAATGTGCTTTGTTGTTTCCCAAATCAGTTGGTCCACAAGTTGGTGCTAACACTGACCTGGGCGTGAAAGAAACAGAAAAGAAAGAACAATAACACATCAAACTTATGTGAGGGGGTAGATACTCACTAGTCTTTTTTAAAAGAGATTTTTATTGACCATGACTTATGTAGAGAAATAGTGCAGACTAGTGCGCACATGCTTATAATTTAGTGGGGATTCACTCACTATTTCTGCAAATTACATTGATACACTAGCAGACTGTCTTTATGACGAAGTGAATCATAAAGTCAACCAATTCTTCCAAAAATACTGATTATTCCATGAAAAAAATAAGTGGCTGGCTTTATGAATGAGTCATTGAATTATTCACTGAACCAAACCGCAAAAAAACATTAATTCACTGAAGAACAACTATTGTGGTCAAAGTTCATATTCTGCTGCATCATTGTGTAGCATCCAGTCAAGTAAAACAAATAGAAATGACAGATATGAATACTAGCCTTATAAAATTGAAAAGATTGGGAATACATGCATTTCTGTTGGAATCCTGCTCATGTTGAAATAGAAGGAAATTAAGCAAACTAAATAGCAAAAACAGCACTAAATATAGAAGAGAGTATATATTTAAAATCCCATATAGCAGAAATGAAGGGAAATCAATAATAAAAGCTGCTATCAACAAATCATGACAAGATAGATAGGGATGAGCAATAAAGCAAGAGAGTATTACAATGTTCAGAATTCAGTTAAAATGATGAAATTCAATAAATTCAGAAGCAAAGTTATATATTCTAGACTTAGACTGGGACACAGGATTAAATAATACATTATTTTTCATGAACAGAATATTAACAGATAAATGAGAACATGTATTAATGAAATGTAATAAAAAATACAGAATGAGTAAAACTTAAGTAATATCTAAAACAGGCAGAGAATGAGATTATATTGCCTGTAATGGTGCCTACCCAGTTTCATATGGAATGTGCACAGGCCATCAGAAAATGTACTTACAAAACCTTGGTGAATGGAGTTGTTGTTTGATGAGAATATTATGAAAATGAAGCTGTGTGTACTAGGGAGACTGTGTCTGTGCCAGTAATCATGTTTCACTCTCCTTTCAGTTCAGCACTGGAACTGAGGGAAATGGCAGAACTAAATGGATTTGCAAAGACCTTGATAATCAGAAGGCCGTGTTAATGTTTGGCTTGGATTTGCACATGGACAAATTCCCTTTTGTTCTGATGTGAACCAATAGAAGAGGCCGAAGAAAGCACAATACATGTGGAAAAATGATAGAGACGTTTGGCTGTCACAGCAACATCCATTTAATGATTAATTACCTAAAACTCACCTTATAAACTACATCAAGGCAGACACTTTATTACAAAAGTGACTAACAATAAGGGTTATAAAGTCCATTAAGTTCAGTTATCAGTATCTTATTCTCCTGTATGGCTATTATCCAAATAGCTTCTTTTGATAAAAATATAAAAATTCAGGTTATCTTTCAGTGGGGGTTAGCATTCTAATTAATATTATTCCATCACAAGCTTATCATCTCATATAATGCTCTATTTCATGAGGAACATACAAAACAAAAAAGCCTATCCCTCGAGTATCGTACCATACAATAGCGATGAACAATTCTTTCCTTACACAGTGAAACTGTGATGATGTGCTAAACAAAAGGGTTGAGAGAGGCATTATGGGTATGAAGAGATTTATGGCAATGCTTATCTTAACTTAATAAAAATGTAAATGATAGCACAAACAGGCCTACGAAAGCTAATACGCTTATTGTTTGGTGTGAAACAGACTTTTATATTTGAGGCAGGGACCATTTGTTTTAAAAATGATTACGAAAAATTTAATTAGCACCAATGAATGTATTGGTGCTCTAACCCCATTTTGGTAGGAGAATAAGTATCTAGGCTCTCTCCAATTATCCTTGCAAATATAATAAGATAATTGCGGTCTAGTTATTGTACATCTGCTCATGTGTAATTTACATGAATCGAGTCTATGCAAATGGAGGCGGTAATGACTTCAGAGATATTGTTATGCTGTAATGTTCGTTTTACAAACCTATTTAGCAATCAAGTGGCCACAACGCACTTTACATATCTGGTGTTAGAAAAAGTCTACTCAACATCGTTTGGCAACCTATTCCACTTTCCATGCATTAGACTGCATTCATCAGTGTCACGATCAATTTACATACAATTTATCTTCCCACGCCCAGTCAAGCACTGTCGCAACACAAAGGACGCACAGGCACAGGAAACCTATGCAACACTTTCATTCACATTTCAGGGGGCTTTAATTCAAGACCTCTAAATTGCTGTGCATGTGTGCTGGGGGACAAAAGAGGCTGCCAGTGTATATAACATTAGTCATCTGGCCAGGCATCGGATCTTGTTTTCTATATAAATGCTGTCGAGGGAGGTTTCAGTATATGCTAAATGTTTATGTTAAAGGAATAGTTCATTCAAAATGAAACTGTGCTGAATATATACTCACCCTCAGGCCGTCCAAGATGTACAGTAGATGAGTTTGTTTCTTCATTGGAACATACTTTTTTTTAAGAGTAATTTAGCATTATATCACTTGCTCACCAATGGTTCCTCTGCAGTAAATGGGTGCCGTTAGAATGAGAGTCCAAATAGCTGATAAAAACAACAACAGTAATCCACAAGTAATCCACACAACTCCAATCAATCAATTAACCTCTTATGAAGTGAAAATCTGCGTGTTTGTAAGAAACAAATCCATCCAACCAGTCCATAATCCATAAAAATGCTTCCTCCAGCATGTCTTCTCACATTAAAATCCACTTGTAATCCCTTGTAAACGGTGCTTGATCTGTGCATATTTTTCTCCTGATTCAGATGACTTTTTCAATGAATAAAGCAATATTGTGGATAGAGGAATTGTATTTTAGCCCTGAAGCACTGGTTTGAAGTTAAAAACTCTTGTATCTTGATGGATTTGTTTATTACACAGCAACAGGCCTTCGTTCATTTTGTGTTTTGCATTTAAATACAGTCATTACGTTACACCAACAGTGCTTTTCCTTTTATTCCTTCTGCTTTTTTTGGCTGCCATTTATTTATTTTTAAAATATTTTTTCATTATATAATTGGAAATGTATGTTTAATGCATGTATTTGCATTTGTGTGTGAGTTACACAGACACATGATTTCCATAATCATTAATTTACAACCTCAGATTTATTTATTTTCTCGCCTCTCTCAGCCACTGTTTATTTATTCATTCATTATTTATTTATTTTGCGTCTGTGTGGGTTTATGAGTGTGTGTGTGTGTGTGTGGGATTTGTGTACACTTGTGCGAATTACAGAGGCACTACACAGGCGGCAGTGTTTTTTAGAGCTGATAAATATGTTGGTACTTTCTTCAGAAGCATGCAGTGACTTACATTTCCAAACAACAGACCATAAATCTGATGAGAGGGCTTATTGCGCTATCAACACTTATGTTAACGATTATAAATCGAGCACTCAGCCTAAACTTCATCTGATATGAAGTGATATGATATGATAATCAACTTGAAAAGGAAAGAATGGAATCTGAAAGAGTGATTTCTTCTCATTATATAGTATATCTATATCAGTGCATCACATTTCAAGCCTCATTAACTGTGAAGGAAAAAAAAACTCTGTTAGACAAGGGTATAATGAAATGTTCCAGATTGAGGACAAACTTTCCTCTTTAATGTCTATGGGGGCTATGGCTCTGCTTATGATATTTCAGGCTGATGTTTGATATATAGATTTAAGTTTATGTGCCGGATGATGCTGCATGAGTTTATAATACTTATTTGTGTATAGATAGATAGATAGATAGATAGATAATTTACCTTATATAAAGGTATATGAAGATATAAATATTTAATTACTCATATCTGAATTAAAGATTTGCCATTGCCTAATAGCAACATTATGCATTCAAATTGAATGATTTTACCTAATTAGCCTATAGCTTTAAATAAATAACAAAGATGTCTGAAATGTAGCAACTCGTGGAATTATTGAAGAATAACCCAATGAATTACAATTAATATTCAATTATATAAAATAATAACACTATAACAAAATGCAATCCATAGCCTTCAATATCTCATTGACAAACAGACACAAAAAACCAACATAGCCTATGTCATAGATCGCTAATTTCCAGATACACAACAACATTATAAATTAGCCTAACCCTTGTCTGACTAAATCTCACACATTTTTTTATGTCCTGGAAATATTTTATTTTTATTTTTTTTACATAGGCTAGATACTGTCACCTCAGGAGGGTGGTGCTCATGTACGATAGTGATGTCACCCCGTAGCTCATTTTTAATTGGTTAAGCCGGTTTTGTTAGCTACAACTCACCCCGTGTTACACTCTCCTCGGTTTCCCCTACAGGTAGGTTTTTATTTTTTTTTGTAAGGGATTCCTTGAAAGTGCTACTGATGCTCCGGTCCCAAACGCTCTCCTCCCGGTGTGGTCTGGTCCCTCTCTCTCTTTCGGCGCATGCGCACACGGGCAGCGCTGTCCGACTTAAAAACAGCTGGGCTCTTACGTGAGTTCACACAGAGAAACGTGAGACTGCAAAGCAAAGGGAACACGGCAACGGATTTTGATAAGGATTATCGCTGTTATAGTGGTTTCACAGCTATGCAAAATAAGAAAATGCAAGAGGATTAGTGACACACATCAAGTGGAGCAAGATAGCAAAACAGAGTGAGAAAGCGAGATGCGGCTCGCCTCAGAGATGAAAGAGATGCTCATGTTCGTGAAGAGACATTGAACCCAAGGAAATCTCAAGCTCTGAAATACATTTAATATGCTACAAGATTGTTGTTCTTCACTGCCGTCGGGTATTAGCAAAAGGTAAGAGAATTTCTTATGATTTTACAAATTGTAAATGCATAAAAATGCAAAAAAAAATAAAAGTATTGTTTTAATGTTTAGTCTAGTAGCCTATGATTTATAGCTGCAGTCTAAATACATTGGAAAGTTTACGTGAATTATATAATGCGTCACTTTTATACACCAGTATATCAGTTCGAGTCAAGGGGAGTTTGTCAAAAATAATGCAAACAAGTGTTGATGATTGATGTCCAAGTGACTGAACCTGCTGTTTCTGCTTTGAGGATTTTTCTTTGTGCTTAAAACATGAACATTTTGCCTAAGTACATGTAGACTGTACTGCTTTATAGTCTAAAAAGTACAAATAATGTTTTAGAATCAAAGAAATGACTGTTTTAGTGTAATTGGTTAAAACCAAGCCCTCAGAAGTGATCAGAGTTACACAAAAATAGAGCCAGTGAAGGTACACTAAGGGGTCCATAGATAAAAAAGTAAATAAATAAATAAAATGCATATATTTAAAATTATTTAATTTTTACAATTCATTATGCATTATAAAAAGTAATAATGTTTGTTACAGTTATTAATTAATTATTTTCGAGTTAGAAAATCTAGCTTTGATTTGAGAATCTAGATTTGAGAATCTAAATGGGGGATTCTTGGGTCTGTAGATAGATGAATAAACCTTTTTTATTTTTTAAACAATATGCAATCATTATACAACATTGATTACCTTGTGTTTGTCTTTGTGATATGACAAAACATAATTGTAATATAAAATGTCTTTTTTTAAAAGTTGTGTATATTATTATGTGCCCAGTGATAGGATTTGTCCATAAGAGCTGCGGTTATCTGATGAACTGCACTAACATGTGTCTTTTGAGTGCGCCCAGATGCCATAGATTTCATTAAGGTTTTCCTCCCTAATCCTTCATCATTATATCTGTTTTTTTTATGGTGATGAAAAAGGAATATATCCAGACTGCCTGTAAATGAGTCCGTCTTCAGCTTTCATGTCTCACAGGGTTAATCAAGATCATTTTGTCATGGTTGACCTTTCAGCAGCATACATTTACCGCCTATGGGGCAAACCGCCTCATCTCCAAGAGAGGTATCTGTGCATAGAGTTGTGTATGAATACATAATCTTTCATGATTGCATTGCATCGGTGTGCTTGTACTGTATGTCATAGTGTCCCCTTTATTAGTTTTTATCCCTATTTAAAAAAAATATGGTAACTTGGTGCATGAAAATATTATGCTATCAAAATAATGGCACACCTTTACATGTTGGACAAAAAAGCACTCAAAGATTCTTTTCAGCATATGATTACATTTCTGGCTACAAGGTCAAGTATCTGAACAATATTTACAGCAAGACTAAGCTAACTGAAGCAGTCAGACAAAAGGTGATTATTCAGCCTTGAAGCAGGTTTCAATTAATGCATATACCTTTCGATATAATATTATTTTTGATTGGTACAGACCAGTGTTAATTTTGACAGCAAATTTTGATTTAGTTTTAGTCATAGTCTTTTGACTAATGCCATTTAGTTTTAGTCATATTTTAGTCATCTGAATTGTTTTTAGTTTTAGTCTAGTTTTAGTCGACTAACCGAGTCGATACTTCTGCACTAAACTTTTAAATTATTAATTTTTATTTTTTTTGAAGTGTGTGAAAAATTGTATTTTATGGTCAGTCACAATTTTAACCGGTGGGATAATGTGTATACTGAATTAACATATTTCTGAGGTCTACGTAGGAACCATCAACGTATTTCAAAATTGTTACTTTTCTGTAACATATATCATCACATTTTTATATTAGTGCTACCAGTATTAAAACATTAATATTCTAACTTATTTGTAACATTTGAACTTTTGATTTAGTGC